ATCTATATCTGATGTTCAACGCCTTCAGTTTGTCAGCCAAAGGTTTATACCTTTTTCTGTCCTGAAGTATTGCTCTTGGGAGCTCTCTCATGACCATAATTTTGTTTCCTTCCATTTCAAACGGGACGGTGAATTGTTTCTTAAAGATGTCTTCTGTTGTTGTTCTTGTCACAAATTGTACAATTACATCTCGTGGTAAATTTTTCTTTTCCGCAATTCTGGAGTTCACTCTATAAATTAAATCAAAGTCTGATTCCATTGATCCTTCATCTTCGCCCAAGAATAGAGTTATCGCCTTCATCATCTCCTCTCTTATATTTTCATTTTCTTTCTCTTTGATACCTCTAAATCTCAGATGAGTTTGCATCCTTCTGAACTCCATCATTGTTTCAGATCTTCTAAGTTGTTGAGTCAAAGAATCCTGTTTCTCCTCCATTTGTTGCATCTTCTCTTCCGTTTCTGTAGTTTTGGTTGCATTATCCTGTATTTCTTTTTTGACTCCTTCTATCTCTTGCTTGATTGAAGTTATTTCTGAAGTAACCAATTCCTTTATTGCTGTTATGTTTTTCTCTTGGACTTCCTCAAGTTGTTTCAAATGGATCTGAGTTTGCTTTGCCATTTGTGCCTCCAGTTGTTTTTCCATCTGTTCTTCCAGTTGTTTAACAATCTGAGCTCCCATTCTTTTTTCAATCTGCTCCCCCATGGCTTGTATCGCATCCATCATCCTTTTCTCCATCGCTTCCATGGCAGTCTGCATCTCTTTCCTCTCCTTCTCCCTCTCTTTTGACATTTTGGGGGTTGATGTAGAGCTTGTCCTTGATCTCACAACTGGTTTAATGTCAGGGTCTGAGTCAGCTCTTTTCTTTCCCCTTCTGGTCTCCGTTTTGGCGATTTTCACTGCAGTGCTCAAATTCACAGACAAACAGTCTCTTCTAGAAGATAACCTGCAGGTCAGCCAGTTCCATCTGTTTTCGCTTTTACAGACCCTCTGATAAACGTTTAAACAGCAAATTAAATTGAAGTCCTCCTCAAAATGTCGGGCGCAACTTCTCTATGGTAATCCGGTATAGAGTAGGTCAGTTTGCCATTTCTGCAGGTCCCGTCTGCTCGCATGTACTCACATCCGGTCCTGCGCCTTATAGAGTCCGAGTTACTTCCTGTTAATTACAGCCCGTCCAGGGTTTCCTCTTCCTCTTCAACCCACTCGGCACTCTTTTGTGGTTACACCGACCTATTCTTCCCGCAATGTATTTCGTCAGTTTCGATTTCTCAGCTGCGCGCACATCTCGATCCTTACCACAGGAATGTTAAACAATATAGTTTTTTGCAGTTTTGTAGCCTTCAATCAACTATTTTCTTTTCCGGAATCAAGTTTCTGGGAATGTTTATTCTATATCCGCTCAACCGCTTGTTTCAACTTGCATCTTATCTTAGTTCAGGTAAGCGGTACGTTTATTGTTATCTAGCGCGATCAGAACGGGTTTCGCATTGCTTCTTTTCACTCACTGTTGTTGCCCCTTCATCAAGAGGTCGGCTGTTGAAGGATTTATGCCGGTAATCCGGCTCGATCAGCTGCTGGAGAGTTGCTTAGCATTTGCCTTCTTCGTGGGAGGAGATCAAAGCCTGTTTCAGCTTCTTCCGAAGCTAAATCACGCCAACCTCACACTCCCTCTTAGGCTCGGCTGCCTGCTTGTCCCCCCCCCTCGCTGGGGAGCGATGCGTTGGGCTAGAAACTGCCCAAACTGTCAAAAGCAGCTGTCGCTCACTTCACACGATCGTGAAGTGCGTTAGTCCTCCATCTTAGCTCGACCGGAAGCCCCAGACTCCCTACTGCTCATCAATTTCGTTGAGTACTCACAAGTTTTGTGAGAAAAGGAGAAAAGTACATCTTTCTCTACCTTCTCTATCCCATCCATAATTTTTAAACCTCTGTCATGTCACCCCTCAAATCGTCATTTCTACAAGCTAAAGAACCTTAACCTTTCATCATAGATACAGTGTTCCATCCCCTTAATCATTTTGGTTGCCCTTTTCTGCACCTTTTCCAATGCTATATCTTTTTTGAGGTGCAGTGACCAGAACTGTACACAATATCCTAAATGAGGGTGCATCATAAATTTATACAGGGGCATTATGATACTGGCTGATTTGTTTTCAGTCCCTTTCCTAATAATCCCCAGCATAGCATTTGCCTTCTCTATCATGACTCCAAAATCTCTCTCCTGGTCAGTGACCACCAGTTCAGACCCCATCAATGTCTATTTATAGTTAGGATTTTTGGCTCCAATGTGCTTTGCACTTGCCCATGTTGAACCTCAATTGCCACACTGACTCCCACTTGCCCAGCCTCACAGTCCTCCCTAGTTCTTGCCACCCTGAACAACTTAGTATAATATGCAAACTTAGCCACTTCACTGCTTATTCCCAACTCCAAGTCATTAATGAACATGTTAAAAAGCACCGGATCTGGTACCAAGCCTTGTAGTACTCCACTGTTTACCACCTTCCAGTGTGAAAATTGCCCATTTATACTCACTCTCCGTTTCCTGCTAATTAACCAGGGTTTTTTTATCCACAAGACGACTTGTCTTCTTATCCCATGACTGTTTATTTAGGAGCCTTTGATGAGGAACTTTATCAAAAGCTTTCTGGAAGTTTAGGTAAACAACATCTACTGGGTCACCCTTGTCACTATGTTTGTTCACCCCCTCAAAGAAAGGTTAGTGAGACAAGATCTTCCCTTACAGAATCCCCTCTGATTCTTCCTCAATAGCTTTTGTTCATCAGTGTGCCTGCTAATTCTATCTTTGATAATGGATTCCACCAACTTACCTGGTATCGATGTTATACTGACTGGCCTGTAATTTCCTGGATCTCCTCTGGAACCATTTTTAAAGATGAGGATTACATTAGCTACCTTCCAGTTCTTGGGAATGGAGCCAGATTTTAATGATAGATTGCATATTTTTGTCAGGAGATCCACAAGTACACATTTGAGTTCTTTCAGAACTCTTGGATATACGCCATCTGGGCCAGGTGATTCATCAGTTTTTAATTTATCTATCAGTCATAGGACCTCCTCTCTCATTACTCAATCCAACTCAGGTCTTTCGACACCCATCCTGAAATTGGTGGTTCTGGAGTGGGCAAGCACCACCCATCTTCCACAGTGAAAACAGAAGCAAAAAAATTCATTCAGCTTCTCTACCACTTCCCTATCATTATTTAGTAATCCTTTTACCTTGTGGTCATCCAAGAGCCCCACTGCCTCCCTGGCTGGTTTTCTGCTACTAATGTATTTGAAAGAATTTTTATTGTTGGTCTTTATGTTTTTTGCAATATGCTCTTGTACAGGATTAGCCCACTCAGGCCAGTCCAGGGATGAGAGGGAATCCTGTACTTTTCAGTACATTAAACAACAAACCACGAGATGGTCTATACCCTCGCTGGTTTCCAGACAATTTGCCACTAGAACCTCTTTTCACTAGTCCTTGCTTCTCCTAAGGGAAGAGATTCCAAACCCTTAGTTGGCATCTGGGACAGAACACATTAGCAACTCAATCCAGAGATGCACACTTTTACTCTTACCAAGGTAGCATATGTGGTCAGGGTTAGGCACAAGATTTAGCCTTGGAGTTTAAGTTACAACACCAGAGACAATTAGAAATAAGAAGGATCTTTATTCAGTACAGAGTTTAGCATAGACTACCAGAGATTACAAAAATAACAAAGGCTGTTTGCCTTAACTAAATATTAATGATTCATAGTTACCAAGTCAGTAGTATTCTTTTGTTTTCCTTTTTCTATTACAAAAAAAACTGCCTAAAGTTTAGCCTTTTCTGAGGATTCACTATCCCTAGCCTCTGGTATTAGTACTTTATAGTACCTGTTTAAATGTTTTTCATTTATTAGCGAAAATAATCTACCGCTTTTCATTAAAAAGTTCAAAATGGTAAGCAAAAGCCAAAATTATAAAATCATTATAAGTTTTCTTATCGTTAAAACAGCACATGCAATGTCATTAAAAAACTAAAAAATTGGTAGAAAACAGTCCAGGGTGAAGGTCATTCGAATCAATGATGTGTGTGGATCACAGTTTCAATTTCCAAATGCCATCTGAAATACATATGTTTTTATCTGTCTGCAATTTTCTTTATTTCCAGGGCTCTTTTTGTAGCAGGAACTCCTCTGCATATTAGGCAACACACCCCTAATGTAGCCAATCCTC